GCATCACAAAATACGATAGATAAAATCGTCCATCAGACCGAACTCTAGACAAAACTGTAAAGCAATGTGAAGAAATTGGGTCTGCAGCGGATTTATCAAGGCTCATATATCATTGAAACATCCGTTGGACTAAAAATATTGGTGCTTCTAGTGAAAGGGTCAGAAAAGATCGAAATTTATCTACTACATGACGCGGACAGCATTTGGACCTATCGTACGGATCAATGTGGCCTATTTTGGACATGCATCTCCGTCCTTACAAAATTTAGCTAACATACGAACTGAAGACGGTTGATCATGAAATGCGTAGAAGATTAGCTGACTGGTCGTTCGCAAGAGCGTTTGGATCACGATTTTTCACATCGTATCCTTTTTTCAGTAATGAAATTTATTTTTCGCTTGATGGATATGTTAATAAGCAAAATTGTCGCAGCTGGGCGAGTGAAAATCCGCAAGTAACCATCAAAAAAAGGTTGCATTTCCAAAAAGTCACTGTGTGGTGTAGCATTTCACCTGAAACTGTGATAGGCCCGTACTTTTTCTGTCTCACCTCCACCGCACTCTGTTCTGATCCTCCCTGCAGCATAGATTGTTTCCTTCTTTCTTTTTCAATTCAATAAATTTCTTTGGCAAAGATATTCCATTTTACTTGCTCGTATGCTATTCAAATTTAACAAGAAAACGTATGGAACATTCAAACGCTAATTACGTTTTTATTAAAAGAGTAATTAAATTTTCAAGTACAATGATATACCTCAGTGCATAAAAAAACGGTCTACGGCCCTTACGAACAGGCAGCCAATCTTGAGTTCTATCAGCAACCGAAAATGAAAACGTGTGTAGGAAAGTGTAAGGAGTTGTCCACAAGTAGAAGAGTGTTTAGTGTCTCCTATGTTAAGAGACTAACGGCATCTAATTCAGAACCATTTCAATACAAGAAAAGTTAATCATTATTATCAACTGTACACATTATATTGGTAGTGGACTTAAAAATTATTACACAAATAGTTTCAATGGTTTAGCACTGGTGGTAGGGATCACAGCCGAATTTAAACTCTTTTTCCAGCAGCGGTTAATTAAACCAACCGCCATTCAGCAAGTCATTTTCAGTATTACGGCCCAAACGGCCTTCGTATAGTGTACAGCTTCCCATTATCTTAGTTCACTAAGTACAAAAATATTATTACAATTTTAATAAAATGGAAAGACAGAATAATGAATTTAGGCACAGGCATATGAATGCTCCCATATTTGCATATATTACATTATGGCAAAGATTAGCTATATACTTGTAGCACCAAACTTTTTACCATATGTATATCGAATACATAGGAGGCAATCTGTATCTGCCTTTGTCATCAACCATTGCAATGTACCGCGCAGGTAATGTAGTGGTAACAAATGCTACGTGATGGAAGGAAAGAGCACTTGAAAGAAAAAGTCAAACATAAGAAATGTTCATAAGTAAATGGAACAAAAACACAGATGAACGTATATACTCATAAATTATAAATCTGCATTCAGCGACATATGCATATGTATGGGCACAAAGAGACACGTCGGAAAAGTATTCTGGTTTGCTTTCAAATAAATGAAGGAACAAAAAACTTTAAAGAGCCACATAGAGAAAAATGTTCTGTCAAATTATTCTTAAAATGTGCATGAGTTTAGGACGCAACAAGTTTTGAAAGATTTTAATATGTTCTCACTCAAGTTGCAAATAAAAGACTTTATTTCTCGACGCTGCCGTTGTAGGGATAGTGGATAAGCCGAAACCATTATGCAAGAAAAGTGCTAATAAATGAAAGAATTTATGTCTAAAACATCTAAACTCTTTACTTTTTGCCTCTTACTCTTCGCACAGATTATTATTATTTGTAGTCAATATATTTTGTAATGATACGCTTTGTGAGAGCTGCTCAATTGCTCCAGATCCAAACGCATTTCCTCTAGTAATAGATCCGTTACTGAAGAGTAAAAGAGCGCCTTTTTTTAAGGCTATCAAAAACCAATGCTTTCTACATAGGGATAATCAAAAGAAAGTCATGGCTTTGACCCATGGCAATATCCCCTCCATTCTTCTCCCTGCTCTGCTCTGATTTCTTCTCGTGTCTTTTCTTCTTTCCTTTTCTCTCCTCTGATCTTCTCTATTTTTCTCTTCTTCGCATCTTATTTTACCAGAAGTGAATACAAATTCCCTCGTTTTCGTTTCTCTTCTTATCTCTTCCCCACTTGTTTCTCCTTTTCACTTCTTTTCTCTGCGCTTCTTTGGCTCTTAATTTTTCTTTTCTTCTTCTCTCCTCTCTTCTCCTTTCTGCTCTTTTCTTACCTTTTTCACCTTTCTATTCTGTCCTTTGGTACTATTCATTTTAAGAAGCTCTTATCAAAATTAAAAAAGCCCTTTACAAAAAAACAAAATAAGGATAATGAGAGTAAGAATATTTTGAGTGTACTTGTAATTAGTTATTAAAAATTTTCGCTAAATCTTCAATACTACCACTCCGCTTATTCGTCTGCCAATAATGTAACTTTAAAACTTTCCTGAAACCACAAAAACGACAACATAAGGGAGGCAACTTGTGGCAGAGCTTAACATAAATCAATCAATTTTTTAAATGCCAGTTTCCTGTACTTATACATATCAAAAATATTTTCTTCGCGGTTGTAATCGTCTCTTTAAAGTAGTAAGGAGGTAAGACAATTTGAAGTTATACATATTAACATACACATTAAACAAAAGAAAAATTTCTCATAAGTTGTTAAGATCTTCATTACACATGTTGTAAAATATTGCTATGATTTATTGCTAAGTAGTATTCAGAACAAAAAAGTTTTACGTGCGTTCGAGGTGAGATAATTTTTTCTCTTTAAGATGAATTTGCCCTCGAAAACATCGAGATTGATAACTTAGAACGTCTAAAAATATAAATTGCCATAGAATATCCCATCGATGTTGGCCTGGGGTGATAAGTAGTCTAAGACAAAAGCACGCATTACCCACTTGTACATTGCCATCACACCTGTACATTTTTATTGTTATTTCCTGTGTTGAAAGTTACATCGACAAGCGTGCAAGCAGACGAACAAGTGGGCATGCATCTAAATCTGTGTGGAGCACAAAACGATTCAAATTAATTTTATATATGTACATGCGTATTTTGTAGAGTAAATGAGATATATTTTCCGGTTTGCGGTGACACTACAGTGTCCCCTTGCTTTCGTCATTAGTGGCATAAAAAGAACTTGATCTAATTCATTGTGTAAAGCAGCAACCTCTGAAAGTAAACTCTTTGAAGCCCATTTTTATACTTAGTCTTAGGAAATATTTTGCAAGATTTAATTAGCTGAAAGCGCAGTGCAGCCTCTATATACTCTCCAGAAGCCTGAAAAAGAAGTTGTATTTTTTAAGTAACGCGTGGTATATGCTGCTTCCGTAAAGAATTTAGTTCTAAGCTAGCAAAAGTGCAATGCACTGCGCATCGAGGAGTTTGTTACATGTCAATTACCAAAATTTTGGCTGAGTGATTCATTCAGGTCTTATTGTTTTAGTAAAAATTTCATGAAAAAAATCGGAAATGAGTGACAAAACCTTTCTTTACAAGCTTTTCACCGTGACTACGGACGTCATAAACAGTGTTCATGCTTTGTATGACGTTATCGTAATAAACATTATTTACAAATATAGACACACAATTTTATAATTACATAGCCTTTATTCATTGCTATACAAACATTTCAATCAAAGGGCGTTTTGTACAAGGTGCACGCGTCATGCATTGCGCCTTTTTTCTTTAGCTTATGTTTGTTTTAGTTTTTGCTTAGTTATTGCTATTGCCACCAAACAGATACCGTATGTAACATTATAATTCCATACGTAAAATTTTACCATATCTCGTAGCACGTTCACATATTCACCACGCCCACGATTCTCGATTACCAAATATAATTTCTCAAGATTTCTATGAAGATAACGCTCCAACAAAATAATGAACCATTTTGATATACATAACTTAGGAAACGATAAGATGTAGAGACACTGCGCAACGTCGTGTTTCGCGCTCGTTCCAAGAGTAGTATATATTTTCTAGTGTAGTGTCAGTTTTATCTCATATAATATTCTATGTTGTATTTATACGTTTCAGTTTTATGATGCACGTTAAACAACAGAAGCGGTTGATAGACTTAAGCAGTTTCGGAGCGAGTCCAGCAGTATTTCATTCCTTGCTTTCCTTCAAAATAAGTTTAAGACGGGGGAACATTAAATTGTAAGAGATTAGTGTTACGTAAAATTTGCAGTCTTTTTGTGCGCACAAAAGTATTTTTCAAAACAATCACTAAAAAAATGTTTTTGTATATATTTTATATTACTGCTAATGATCATCGAACGCCTCGCAACGATAAAACTTTCGTAAATGCTATCTCTAAACAAATTTCGTATAAATTAATAAAATATTTAACCGTTCTTTATATGTAGAAAACACCTGAACAGCGTGGTGTAACAATATTTCTTAACGACGGATAAAGAAACCATCAACGAAGGAAAAGAATAATAAATCCTACAGTCAATCTAGTGTCACGGCGAACGTTGGATACCCACCTTGTAAGGGCATACAATAAATGATTGTTGCAGATTGTAGACGAGAAGAATTGGAGATTCCTCAAATTTTGTCACCAACAACCTAACGTTAAAATTCAATTTAAAAATTTTCACCATCTGACTTTCGTGCTTAGCTTAATGCGGCCGGGATCTTACACTGAACAAAAATTTGCAAATTGTATTAAGCCTGCAAAACTGTTCCAAAGAGATTGACAGAAATAGTTTATTCCTATCCCTCAACTTTCTATAACATATGCAATGAAGAATAAATTACCTGGTTATTAACCCGCAACTAATAATTAAAAACTCATCACAATGCCACGTTGTGCTGCATTATAGTGATACCTCTATATAAAGCTTTTAGAAACGAACGCAAACGACAAGAGTTCTTTTCTTAAACATCATGAAACTGTATAAATTTGAGGATTTCGTTCGCTTAGCCAATCTTTTTTATACGAGTCTTGGCATAGAACCTTATGCTTTGGGGCAATCGACGAAATGGCAAATATTATTCCGTTATTTAATTTTTTATTTTCAAATAATCAATCTTAGTTCGATGGTGGTGTGTGAAGTCACTTATGTATTTCTGGCTTTCCGGAATGACAACAATTTTCTAGAGGCCACCATGATCATGTCCTACATCGGTTTTGTATTGGTCGGCATATTTAAGATGTTATCGATTTGGCGTCAAAGATCATTGCTTACTACCTTTGTTCAAGAATTGTTGCACATATTTCCTGAAACACCCGAACAACAGCGCCTATATAACTTGGACATTTACGTACGCCAGTGTACCCGCGTTACGGTTTGCTTTTCGTTGCTATATATGTTGCTTATTTGGACATACAATTTGTTTGCTATTCTACAATATGTAATCTACGAACGTTGGCTAAAGTGGCGTGTAGTGGGCAAACAATTACCTTATACCATGTATATATTGTGGAATTGGCATGACCATTGGTCCTATTACCCTTTATACGCATTGGAGTGTATAGCTGGTTTTACTTCGGCTGCTGGCCAGATATCCTGTGATCTGCTATTATGTGCTTTTGCCACTCAACTGATAATGCATTACGATTATGTCTCCCGTAGCTTGGCTATGTACGAAGTTAAATTTCGTCAGAAATTTACCGAGCCAAGGAAAGCAATGGCCGAAGATATGAAATTTCTAAGAAAAATTATTGCTTATCATGCTAACGTATTAAGGTAAGTGGCTTTTCAAAGCAATCTTTTGCAAACATTTTTGCTTTCCTTCTCTTCCTCTTATTTTCCCGTCTAGCCTGTCTGAGTTAATGAATAAGGTGTTTGGTGTGGCTTTATTTTTCAACTTTATGGCCTCATCGTTTGTTATATGCTTTGTCGGCTTTCAAATGACGATGGGCGCCGATCCAGACACATTATTTAAATTATTTTTATTCCTATTTACGTCGGCTAGTCAAGTGTATCTAATAAGCCATTATGGTCAGCAGTTAATTGATGCGGTAAGTTAACTCAAGGTAGGGTTTTATAGCAACGCACGAAAAATTGTTTAAGCGAATCGTTTTATTAAAATTCTGGAATTTGAAAGTAAATGCCATAGATTTGAATAATTTTAGCGATGTATGCGATTAATTTTATAGTCTTAACATTGCGTCTTAGCTAAGGTTAGGTCTCACTGGTCGGACAACATGAGGTTTACTTTGCACGTGTATATAGGGTGATGTACTAAAACGCGATTTAAAGTTTTAATTACGATAATTTCGATATTTAAACATTTCGATACACAACAAATTGATTCAAATATATTTAATTAATACGTATACTAGTAGCTAAGATCAAAGAGACCAGGTTCACATTTACCAATCTTCGATGCCACAATAATCTTAGTTTAATTTTTCTGTGACATCTCCTGTCTCCCTGTCCTGTCTTGGCCCAAGAAAACGAATTAAGTTAAAGCTTAGGTAATAATAGTTCCTGAACTAATTGGAAATAGTTGACCATTTGGTTACTTTCGAAAGTAAGTTCGTTGAAAGACGAATGAAATGGAATCAATGTAATCGTCTACTTACACACCTAAGAAATTTTCAGAGTTTTAATATAGCAACAGCTGTTTACAATCAGCAATGGTATAATGCTGACATCGGCTATAAGAAAATGCTGGTATTAATAGCGACACGTGCCCAAAAACCGGTTGAACTACAAGCAACTAAATTTGTTTTAATATCTCGAGGCACCATGACCGATGTAAGTGTTATAAAAAATATGAAGAGTATTTTTGCTAATAAACACGATTATTGCTTCCTAGATTATGCAACTTTCCTACAAATTTTTTGCTCTACTTCGTACCATCTATGCTGAATGAAACACACGTTTATAACAGTATCTGCGAAACGTACCGACAAATAAGTGTTTTGTGAAAAACCTTATTGTATTGCCTTAAGCGTGTAACTAATCGTATTAGATTTTTAAGAGATAAAATCATCAAAATTAATAAACAATTAACTATAGAATATTTAAGCATTGCGTGTGCAAATTACTGAAGACAACTGGAAGTTTCATGAATTTTACATGACGAATCTGAAGTATTTTTGGCTTATGAGAAGTTTGATCACAGTTCATTTAAAGCCATCTTTTTTTATTTATCATAAGACGAGACCTATCACTGCACTCATACTGATTATTCGACTGTGATAATATATATATTTTGGTTGGTGCATGTAGAAAATTACAGTTGTTTTTATATTCTTTTTTTTAGTTACCAATAGCGTTGTGTAGTATTGAGTAGAAAAATTTCTCGATAATGAACATTAACTAGTAAATAAGAAATAAATAATAGCTGTAATAATTAGCTGTTTTGTCTTCTGTCAATCAGTACTTTTAAGTAATCATCTTCAACTTCCTAAAAAGAACAATTAAAGGGGTTTTCTTTTTTTCGACAATTTCTGTAAAACGGGCACCGATTATGTGCAGTGTGATCTGACTTTCATTTTCTAATATCGATCTTTTTAACTATATGTATACACAAGATTGCGAAAAGCATTCTGTCAAAATTGTCAAAACCAGTGTAAGCAAAATTGCTCACGCTTTGTGTTAGTATTGGTTGTATAGGATTGCATTTATAAAAGAAAGCGTCTGTAAATTGAAAATAAAATAAACTGTAAACAATATTGTTTAATAACAAAGAACTGAATCAAAAAAATTTTTTATTATTTTTATTGTTATTATTATTATTATAAATTTAGACAAAGAATCAACTCTAAGACTAAAGTCTTAAAGCACTAGCATCTAAGGCTTTCGGCTTTATTAAAACCTCTACCGCACTTGAGATTTGAACCCACGACCATTCGAGACTCTTGCCTACTTGGCCACTCAGGCGGTTATCTATAATTATATTCCTTAAATGTAGGATTATTCACAATTTATTTTTTTTGACAACACTTTTAACTGCTCGACTTGAATATTCTTTTTCTACTTTAAGGAATTGATTATTTAGGAAAATGACTTAGCTGGAATGAATTAGTTTTGGGATTTTCGTAACAATAATAATTAATACTCGTAATTCGCAAAGCTTATAATTAATTGTCTTATAATCAGTGCTTCCCTACATCATCATATACTGCCACTATCAATCATAAAGTGCAAAGGAGCGACAAATAAAAACAAACTACTCTAGATATATTGGCCTTATCGCCAACAAGTCTAATCTGTTTTACCAAACAACAAAAAAAGGCAATTAAGTTGTTATTAAATGATCAAATGATGTGTAGAAATATCTTCAAATCTGCTTACCCTACCTGAAAATATGTGAGTAATTGGCTTTTATATTTGTGAACAATGTAAACTAAAGCATACATATTGTTACATGTACATTTTCCGAAAAATTTTCCGTATCAAAACAGGTTTTTGCAATGTCAGGCGCTACGCAGCTGTACCATTCAAACACTTTCAGGTTATAGCGGATACTTTTAGAGCCGTGGTTATTGACGCCGTACAGGAGCGAAGCCAATCCCATCAAACAAATCTAACGATACGCAGTGCAAGACAAGGAATATTGTGGAGAAATGCATTCGTGTGTATATTATTATTATTATTTTTATTGATAAAAATTTAGCCAGCAACATAGATTCTAAGACTAAAATCTTAAAACACTAGCATGCGTCTAAAGCTATCGGCTTTATTGAAAACTGTACCATACTTGGGATTTGAACCCACGACCATTGAATTATAAGCTGAGAATTTTCGCCGACTCAGTCACTGAGACGGGCAGATAACGGTTTGGTGTGTACAAGGGTTAATATTAAATTCATTTTTCCAAAATATAAATTGGGCTATTTTGTTTTTCAAGGAAGATGGGATACGTTTGTGCAGCCATTCACAACATTTGCGTGCACTATAAAGTGCAAATTCCGTAAATTGAGGATTTAACATCTGCTGGGCCCGCATCTTATTTTGACGACGGTGTGAACGTTTCGCTAAAGGGCTCCCAGCTGAGGTAGATAAGTGAGAAAATAACAACCAACATGCCTTCTGCACTTTCATATCGAATTATAATAAAATAAACAATATAAGGGACAAATCCGCTTTTATGAAAATTCAAAAGTTGGGTTTAGTTTTTTAAGAGCAAATTAAAAGAAAAAATTTCCTTTTAAAGCTTAATCAATTCGTTAATTTATAAATATATAAAATAAAATTACAAAATTCAAAGTTCAAGCTTGCAATGAAAATAATGAAAGATAATAAAAACTTAAATTGAGTTAACTTAATCCAATTAAATCGTTTTTTTCCTTGGTTAGCTGTAACCCGCTACGATTGAACGAATTAAAGTCATCTGTCAAAGCTCAGAGCCTTTCCGCACTTTTTGTGCTCTTATCATAGTATGAATACTTGCCAAACAATAATTATTTTTATTAACAATTATGTGATGAAATGAGAATCAAACATTTACTGAATTTTGTGTCTTAGCAAAAATCTCAACTTTGAGTCTTTGCTAAATTATAAGTCTTATATAAAATGAAACAAAACAAAAAAAATAAATATAAAAATAAAATAATTGTAGAAAATAGACACGAATTAAAATTCTAATTTTATAATTAAAAAATCAAAAAACGTTGCATTCATTACCACAACATGCTTTGCTTTGCTCTTATTAGAATGTGAATCACAATATATAAAAAAGGCAGAGATAAAGAAAAAGGTAAGTAATAGAACAAGCAAAACTATAATCCAAATACATGAATTTTAATTTATGCGTTTACTTTTTAAATTATGATTTAATAAACCTTGAATTCTTATTTTGACATTCCCCAAAAAATTTTTAATTATTTTCTTTTATGTAACAATCTTTTATTTTGCGACTACCAGAAGGGAAAACCATCGAAGAAACGGCACCTTTTCCCAAAATTTTCGAATATTTATCATTAAGGTTGTACCTATGAATTGGAATAAGTACATTTCGTAGCATTTTACTCTATATACATTCCAAAGTGCTACTCGATAGCAAATTTGTGATCAACGAATGTTTTCTCTGATTGAGAATTTGGAAATAACTAGTCTCTATACTTTATACAACATATACTTGGCTTCCTTAAGAAGTAATCAACGGTCTCGTCTGATTTGACATTATTTTCTTGAAATGTCTGTGAACCCCTATTTCGTCGTAATATTTGATTTACAATGTCCGTTACTTAATGTTGGACTAACTGAAAAATGAAAAATCAACAGATTGTTAACTTTTACATAAGTTTTATAACAATCTATATAAGGTAAATAATATTTCTATGTTGGACACCCGCACGGTGCGTGGAGAAACTGAACTCTTCTCTAAACCGTCTAAATCAGCCAATCAGAAATCGTTTATCTGATATTTTCTTTCTTTATTTTTCCGTACAAACGGTCTGATTTAATCTCACCTGAACTGTACACATATTTTCCAGTTTACTTGTAAAATGAATTCGTTCACAAGTCCATGCAGTTCAAAAATTTTAAAATAGACACGATTAAAAACTGCTCTAGTTAGCTGATTGTTGATGTGCTGAACAACAAAAGAAGAACAAAAATAGAAAACAACCTCGAAAATATTGCCAAATTAAAACATTAAGTTTAAGCTACATGTTCGATTTCAGGTACTTTTGTAGAATTTTGATAAGTCGTCTTTCATATGTAGCGAAATAGCACTAGAGCCTTTTCTTGAATAAAAATTATCAGATTCCAAAAGTAAAAGGAATGATTTACTATTATGGCTCGACTTTTTAGAGCATATCTGACGAATAAATTGCAAGGATCTTGACTTCATAGTTTCTTGGACACGAATTAAAGGATCGATCAAGTAAGTATGTTTTTGTTCAATCTGACAAAACCAGACATACTCCTTCGCAAGATGTCATGGACTCCGAAAGCAGGATCAGTAGGGATGTCACTGCCTGGACCATTGCATTGTCTAGAAGAGTACAAGGTGAATATGCTTTTGATCTTTGTAAATCTGAGATAGAGAAGTGTATTTGTAATCCTGATTCCTACACCCAATAAGAACATAACACACCAAGGTATATCGGAAAATATAAGCAACCGTCATGACTATTAAACGCAAATCCGAAAGTTGGAATTAATACATACATAAAGCCGCTGTGTACTATGAAATGCGAATAGGCGAAACAACTGAAAATCGCACAGACTACCAATGCATATCTCAGATTTGACCGACTTATTTTCTCCTTGAAAATATCAAAAGGATGTTCCAAGAAAAAAAAGAAAGAATCATATTCGAAAATTTAATTCAGAATCATTGATGAATTGAATCGAATCCCATAAAAAAAAATTTTTTTACTTAACTTTTGCAGTTGTTGGCCGATGTTGGCCTGCTTATAAACATGTATGATATGTTTGCCGTCGGGGATATTTTTCATGGTAGAGGATATTTAGGAATATATTCAAATGTGAAATCTGATCGTTGCAAAACAAATAAAACTAAACGAATAATATAAACAAACAACAATGTTAATAATTTATTTATTTTTATTATTTGAAATTTCTTTTACAGTATTGTTACAAAACATATTCTATTTACTTTAATAAATAAAATTTAATCAATTTATATTGATTTGCACAAAAATTGGCTTTGCCAACCTACGGGCTAGTCAGGCTAGAAGGATGGATAGTACAGGCGAGTACTACCTCAATGATCCGCCTTTATGTTACCTATGTTAATACACCCCCAATACACACCATCTACTCTTATAAATACGGTCTTATCAATTCATATTTCGAAATAATGTCATCCAAGCCACTTTGTAATTTTTCCGTGCTATTTTTCAGTTTGCTATCATCGTTTACGTTTTGAGGACATACAGCATATGTTCATCACTT